TATAACACCTGCTTCTTACGAAGTACTATCAAACATACTGACATGCAACAACAGGCTTTAAATATAAGCGATGTGATATTTCGCGGCCGTTTTTTTCTACGCCTCATATGCTCATATCGAAAGTATCTTATATATCATTTTAGCCCTAAGAGCCATGTTGTAACCATATTTATCATTATAACCTAAGAGCTGCATACTGTAACCCTGCTATCAGTATGCATCACCCTGCTATCAGTATGCATAACCCTGCTATCAGTATCTATACAAGTCAGACAGATTACTTCCAGATCATGTTGTCAGATATGGCCAACAGTTCTTAACTCGTAAATATGAGATTCCAACTGTATGTTCATAAGATGTTTCTTTGCCCATCGAAACTAAGTACGAGAATATTTAGCTCTGCAGCAACCTTGTATAAACGATAGCCAAGCATAAGTTACCAAACAATTATTGGTACATAATATAGAGTTTACGTTGGTAATTCGATGGAATATCTTATTGCATTGCTACTATGAGAGTTAAGGCCTTGAAATGCAACTAACATTTCTCACAAATCACAAGAAATCTATCTGTAAAAATTAGGCTTCCCTTTTAAATCTAAATTTCCACTTAGTTTCTTCCTTAAAAAGTCAATACAAGCGAGTATATGTATTATATGTACTGTATCAATTTACGTTATTAACATTTATGAATTTCTATATTAATAAAAATCAGTACTTTATCCTTGTATATCATTTAAAGAGAGTTTTCAAATTATAATTAATTAAATTTTCATGCATGCATTTTCATGTTATTATTAATAGAATTTCCTGGGATAAAAGTGGTGATATCTTTAGATTTTGATTTATGTATACCTCTTACTGCAATTTTTAGCTCATAGGTTTTCAAAGACCGAAGTCATAGATACAGGTATGTTTAAGATTTTTTTCTTTGCCTTGTTTAAATTTTGGTCACAGAAAGACCCAATTTGAAGCGCTTTTTGTTTAAATTAAAAAAGTTTTTATTCCTTCTTTTACAAAGTTTTAGCTCTTCAAGTTCAGTAGGTACTCCTTTAAAATTGTGTATATGTTGACTAATAGCAAATTGCTATTTTATTCTGTACATTTGCCTTACCACGCTAGTTTGTATAGTTTTTTCCTTGCAGCATTAGTGTATTTCTCGTTTACTTTTAACCAGCGGATGGGTCGGGAAATGAAACAGAAAAATTGAGACTTTAGTTATATTAGGTATTTTAATCTCTTTAAAATTCAAAAGGTTTTTCGTGTTCAGTCTCAATTCCTCTTTTTTGACGAAACGCGTTATAAAGTTAGCTGGATTCGAAACTCATTGTGAATTTCCCTTGATAAGTCCGTAATGAGGTTCGAATCAGGCTAATTTACCATTTACCGCTTCTTAGTAATTTTTACTTGTGTTTTAATAATTTTTGTTGTAATTTTAAAAAACTTTATCATTGTTTCAACTTTCATCAAATTTTTTTTAATTTTTAAATTTAAATTCAGTTTTACATTCACTTTTTATTTTTAGTTTTTCTTGTTTAGTATTTCACACTTCTTGTATTTTAACATTTTGTATTACTATTTATTTTTACTAAGTGTTAAAAAAATATTACACGGGAACCACAAAATCACATTTGCTTTTAAGCAATAGCTTGAATTTCCTTTTAAACTTTATATATATATATATATATATATGTATATATAATTTTATAAATGTGTAGATGAAGGCACTGGAACTTTAACAGCTTACGATACTGCGTAGATGACGGAGAAGACCGTAGTGGCTTGAAGGTGGCAGAGTGGAAAACCTGATGACGCAATTTAGCACAACATATCTTGAAAAATCACAATCTTTATTTTTCCCATGCATATCAAATCATCCTTTTTCAGACGAGATGTTTCCTAATTATATTTGAATACAGTAAGTTGCATTTTGAAGTACGACGTCATCTTAAGTAAGCAAGCGGCAGCAGCATACATAAAAAGCATCTTGCCGGCAGGAAGAGCGTATGGTGAAAAGGCAGAGTATCATTGAACTTCAGAGGAAGAAGGGTGGGAGTCGGAAAGGTTTCAGTTCAGAGTTTCGGTTTACAATTAATTTGATTGGACAAGAGGCATCTGCATTAAAACGTTACGTAAGATAGAAAAATCTGTAACCTGTGAGAAAAGATGAATTTAGGGGCAGATCACCAAATTTAGAATGTTAATTTTGAGGTCGCCAATTATTTTTTTGAAACTGCTATCATATTTTGTTATATCCCTCATATATATATCTTGGTATCTACAGCTGAAGATACACATTGGCGGTCTCATTTTTGAGATTTTTACAAAACATCGGTCCTTTCAAAATGTCCGTCAGTTAAAGAATGCGTTATTTTACAGTATATACATGTAAAATGCAACGCTAAACTGTAATTAGATGTAAACATCAAATTGCATTAGCTTATAGTTTAGTGTTCTATTAGTTTGAATTGGACCCCACTGTTTATTTAGATCGCCAGACAGTGACAACTAATCAGACAAGTTGAATATTGTAGAATGAATGTAATGTATTAATACTGAATACCGTAATTATTAATTACTGAAATGGCTACAATTTTGTAACCTTAATAGCTTGGGATACCTTCAAATGCTTCGGTACACGTCATTGGGCTTCTCTGATCCTAGAAACTGTACATTTGCACTAAGAACTTGGAGCTTTGGAAGTATGGATAAACTATTTAATAATTTAGAATTAACAGCAAAATATAGGAAGAATTGTTTACCTAATTTGCCTAAAAATAAACAAATTACCTTTCTGAAGGTAATTTTATATGGGAAAACTAACATTTCATCTGCTAATATATTGTTATTAGAGTTTCCCCAGATAAAATGCTGTTGAGTAGGGTATATAGGAAAGTATACATATATATATCCAGAAAAGTATACATATACATATATACTTTTCAGAATTAAAAACAATCTGCCATTCTTAAAGTAAAATATAGATCGTAAAGATTTGTAACGATTTGTTTGTATAAATCATTAAGTTTTTGCAAATTTAACAACTGCTAGGAAACAATAAACTAATACAACTTTTATTTCTAATAATAATAATAGTTATTGCTACGGAAAACTGAAATATCGTGCAGGTTTTGAAGTTTTTTTTTTTTTTTTTTCACACACAATTATTGTTAGCATGTTTCAGTTAACAGAAGAATTGAGATCAGGAGAGGATGGAATCGATTATGTATTCCTGCACAAAGAAAATGAAATCTTAAGTTATCTGAAATTCATCCGAACAGAAAATCAAGAGTTCCGCTTAAAATGCATTCAAAAATCTAACTATCGATTGTTAACTGGTATATATTTAGAAAATGAAAACACATCAGTCAAAAACAGGTCTCCAAACTTCGCTTTAAAAAAACGTTAACTTTCTTGCAGAAAACGCTCTGTCATGCGTTAAAATTATAACTATTAGAACGGGAGAAAACGATTTGCCTGAAATGCAAATTATTTATGCTACAAATATTTCGAATCCTCGTCTTATCTCTTTCTTCGCAGCCAAAGCAATTTTTGAAAATATTTCAAAGTATTATTGCTGACATTATTGCATATACAAAAAGTGCGTATTTGCCCTAATACTTCCATTTATTTCTACGTGATTATTTGACATTTTATAATAGTAGATGAAAATAAAGCAATAGTAAAAATTGAGTCATTTTGTCAGATTAATATTAGGTTACTGCCCTCCCCGTCAGTATCCTGGCTAACGCTGCTGCTTGCTATATCGCTGCACCTGGGTTCGAATACCGGAAAAGGCTTCGATGTTTTTAAGTGTATCATGTCTTTACGGCATAGGAACAATTGAAATACGGACGAGCCGAAATCGAGTCGATAGAGAGGTTTAGAGGTAATGAAGAGTGATGAGACATCTTTGGACTGTCGGATTAAGTTTTTTTTTTTATTAAAATTAAGACAGAAACTCCCCGTTTTCTCAAGTTTAATATTAATCGCCTCATGTGGTTCACCATGTGCAATGTTCTTGACGATGAGATGGCTATTAGCAATTTTTGATGAATGCGCTAAACTGTAAGTGCTCTGCCATTCAAAATTACAATATTTTAAGCTTTCTTATAAGGTATTTATCCCGCCTTCTTAGCATGCATTCGCAGTGTAGTGGTCAGCACGTTCAGCGCGTAATTGAGAGGTCCGTGTTTGGAGTCTCGGAGAAGGCATTGCACATTTCTGATTTAAAAATGAAATCCTAATGTCTCTACAGTGGCGCTCGAACTAAAAGGTGGTGAAAAATGATTCTTCACCACTAGGATCTGGCGATTGGGTCTCCTAAAAACCCCAGTCAACCTTTAAAAGTGGGAGTATATAAATATTTTCCCCGCCTTCTTAGCATGCCTTCGTAGTGTAATGGTCAGCAGATTAGTCCTTAAAGAAGGGCGATACTTTATAATTATGGTGTCGGGAATTTTTGAATAATTTGAGAGGAGCTTGGAACTGTAGATTCACTTTTTGCTGGGAGGTCCACGGGTGAGCTGAAAATTTCTTCGTGTGCGACTGCATTTTTGTTCCGCGATCATGAACGGCTTGTTAATTTGCCTTCTCATTATGAAGAGACCTATGGTGCCTTTCTAGAAGGCGTTTTGGAAGAATTTCTATTTTCTTATAGCGAATCTCTTAGTACCTTTGTTGCAGTTAGACGAATGAGTGGTTGTCTTTACTTCGGAATTCCTGACTGGAGTCCATTTTTTGCCTGAAAGGTAAAGGTTGACTATTCCTCGGTGAGTCGCTTAGGAGCTTTAATAATGCAAGCTTTGAAATTGTAGCTGCTGAAAGGTGCGAGATGCTGTTGTCTGCTTACAGCGACTGCAATTCAGTAGGATTACCCTTATGTTTCGAAAATCTGATTTCATGGCCGCGTTCTCAAGGAGGAAGATGCCGTGCTCTGGTGAACTAGTAGTTCTATCCTTTTGCATCTGAGATTTGGAGGTTGAAGATTTTATCCATAACCTTTGGAACTGCTTCTTCGAACGACAACTAGAATAATGATGTCAATATGTCTTGTTTCACCGACGATATGTGTTCCGTTGGACCTGGAAAAGAGACCGTCATGTTTTGCAAGTTTCGGCCTTGGACAGCTCAGTGAATAAGTACCCGTTTCTTCTTTTTCACATAAATTCATGCTAGAACTTCTCATTGCCATATTGGAACATCTCTAGAGTTAACTAATTCGAAAATCCTAGAAGGAATTAACAAATGTAATTGGCTTGTTGAATTTGCTTATTAATTATGCCTTTCCCTGTTTCTTCAACACACATGGTAATAATCAAGAATGTGATTTGGTTGAAGCCTCTTTATTTGTATTAAACTTGTTTTTTATTCACAATCAAAAAGAAAGGGGGAACTGGGAAAAATAATAAAGTTAATTTTTTTTTTTTTTTTTTTGGAATTTTGCTTTACCTCGTGTTAAATGAATGTACAAAAATGTGAGGTGTACCCTTATCTTAGTAACCTATGGTAAAAATGTTCCTCTCAATAGGAATTAATTCACTGTTCATAGCTTAATTTTGTTAACAGAAATTTAACTATAAGTAGGAAAATATTTGAATAATAATTTGAAAGTAATTCTTAATTAAGAATAATAGCCATGAGCTTTAAATAATTATTGGTGAGATAGATAGGGTCTTTAAAAAGTAATAATTGTACCAATCATATCTTTTAGAGAGGAATGAATGCTAAGACGTTGAGGAACGGAAGAGAATTGGATGCATCAAGTTCAAAAGTGAACTCAATTTCCCGATCAGTGGAATTCATTATTAAACGACTTCATTATAAATCATCTTTATTACCATCAAACAGGGGAAAGGTAGCGCCAGAAGCCACACAGGAAATTTTATAATTTCAAATAATTTTGCTTAATAATAATGCATACAGATATTAGCAAGGATAAGAGCAAGAGAGCTTCCCATGGCTGATCCTTTAGTTTGCTTTTAATACTTATTTTGGGAAACAAAATGTGTTTGTTCGGACAGAGTTGTGTATAAAAAATTAACTCATCAATTTCGATACTTGAAAAGAGCTTAAAATTTCGCTCTGAGGAACATGAGACAAAAGTTAAGAAAAACGAAACACACAATTTCTATAGCCCAATACTGCCGGTCATGAAATCCCATTTTCCATTGTTGGCAAATTAAATTTTCCAGAGGCATTTCACATTCATAAAAAATCTTTCAGTTCCAGTTAATGATCTTAATTCAAATCCATCTTTATCCTCAGTTTTCAAGGAAATTATTTCATAGTTGCTCTCATTTTTCATTAATAGATAGCTCCAATAGCTTGAATTTCTTCCTCACTTTATAATCGCCTTTTATTATTTTATCACTGACTTTCTTTTTCGTTCGCACTTCGGCAGCTGAAGACGCACCTTGCATGTTTAAACCTTCGAAACTAGTCTTGCAAACTTATGAATATTACGTATAGCTTCTCCGATAATCGTTATTTTTTTTTCTCAAATAATAATGCTATCCAAATGCATAAATAAAGGGCATTTAGAAACGTCAAATATTCAGAGATTGGTATTCTTTAGCTTGAATTATGAAAGGAAATAAATAAAGCAAATAAAAATAATAAAGTTGATCTGCACAATTAGAGTAGGAAAACAGTAAATTACCAGTAGCGAAATATGCGTGACATAAATAGTATTTTTAAAATATTTCAAAATTCATAATACAGAAGTCTTTTTGCTTAATACGTTATTAGTTACTATTAGAATTGCTCAGGCAGAAATAAAATGATTTACCTACTTATATGAACTGGAGTAATGGAATAATGAATAGGCATCATGATCCAAATGGAATAAAATATTTTTTTATCAAAAGGTTTTGCAAAAGTTTCATTATTTTCTTTGAAATTTTATCATCGCCAAACATAAAACAATCAAACACTTAACTTAAAACATTTCGATGTTTCATAATAACACAAAAGAAGGAGCATTTCTACAAGATAAAGTTTTATCAGTAAATCCAGTGAAAAATCGTTGTTGATATGCTACACCAGGGGTTCTCAACCGGTGGTACGCAAGAGAAAAATACTAGGTGGTAAGCAAGGAAGCAAAGTATTTTAACTATTAAATTAAAGAATTAAAACCCCAACATCCTGATTGAATTTTTTCTCTAAGACTCGTAAATTTATGCTATCTGAGCTTTGTTCAAGAGTGGTGGTGGTAGTAGTAGTTTGTAGTGGTGGTACTAAAGGTTTTCAAGTTTTATTTATCTAGATGGTACGTGTTAGTCAAAATGTTGAGACCCGCTGTGCTACACTGTATTTCCTCACAAGCATCCAGGTTTCTTATTATTTGGATTCTACTACTAATGTCCATATAGTAAGTGTAATGAAATCCTCTGTTTCAAGAATTATGATTCTGGCCGAATTCTCACAAAAATTTCTTTTTTATTGTAAGGTTTTTTACCTTAAGAATCATCGAATGAATTTACAAATTTTATAGCATATATTCCTTCACATTCAAACTGTAAAGTTAGAAAGAAATCATAAATTCAGTCTTCATAAAGTTTCTTTTAAACTACCTTTTTTCTGTTTTATCTTAAATGTGAAAATTTCTCCATACATGTCTTAATTTATAAATATCATTCTTGAAATACAAGAAATTTTTAAACTGCTAAATTAGTTCTAGCCGATAAAGATGTGTTTTTCAATGTAGCACAAAAGTATTTCATAAATGTATCTATTTTATGAAATACAATAGTTAAAAAATGACAAAACAGTTAGCAAAAATAAGCCACTGTCTAGAAAACAAGACCTTGTCTATATTTTTCAAGTAAGGGAATATCAATTAGAAACTGAATCCACTTATTTTAAATGTATAGGTAGCAACTGTTGCATATATTAGGTCTGTCTATTTTAAGTTCTTGTTTCCTAATAGTTTCATTGCATGATAAAAACAATAACACATGCATATATAGAAATTATATTAGTTTTTATTCACTCTCTTTCATAATGATGATTACTTTGTAGCGACATATTTGATGCTAATTCGAATAATGCATTATCTTAGCGTAAAATTATACTACCTCTTCGATAGTATTAGAAATTATTTGTTTAATATTTTGCTGAAATTTAATAACTTCAAAACTATCATTACAACCTATAACGAATTAATACGTTTTGGCAATATTATTAAAATATAAAACATTAAAAAATTTATTATATATTTATATTTTCTGTCCATTATCCACTTTTATGCATTCTCTGCGTTGTATTTTAGATCAAATAACTCTCACTTGATAATATTTTGATTACAGCTTTATTATTAAGTATTATGCTGAAAATATTGTTGAAAATTAAATAATTTAACAATTTGCACGCCAGATAGTATTGTTAATCTAACATTTATTTTTCATGATGTGTGTGAGAATGGGAAATTAGGCGCTAGCTGTTCCGGCGGAGCATAAATTTTCGATAAACTTGTTTTCATTCTTGTTGAATGCTAAGAGAAGACTTGAGTTAGAACTTGAGTTAAAAAAATTCAGTAAAAGCCAAACGCCGTTCCTGAATTTGAATTACTGAAGAAGATAAGCATATGTTAAACCTTCACCAGTGAGCACATCATCAGAATATAATGATAAGAAGATTAAACTTTGTGAGTTTATTTTAATATTTTGGGTTTTTAGAAAGAAATGGGAGAAATTATATTTTGGGTTTTAGAAAGATTTTGGATCTATAATATTTTGGGCTACATTTATTTTAGTATTTCGGCTTTCTAACAGTTCAGCCATATGATACATATTGAACAAAAATGACTATTTTTATTTGAAGCACAGATTTAAAGCTTTTAAATTTTCAAATTTATTTTCTCGATATAATTTTTTTTAAATGTATCTGACCAATAGTTTAAAAATTTTCCCACCTTTCTAACATCTTTTTAAATGAAAATAAATATAGAGTATTATTTCAAGAGTGAACAAACCCTAAATATGAAAAACAATTTCTGTCCAAAAAAATTAAGAAAAATAAAAACTTTGCCTATTTGAAGAATTCATAGTTGTGCAGATAATACAAATTTTTATATAAATGTAGCATTTTAATATTTTATACAGCAAAAATCTTATAATCCTTTCGAAACTTCAATAACGACGGATCATCAAACACGCCGGGGTTATCGTACCAAAGTTTCACAACACTGCGAAGGGACTATTTTTGTGTTGTTTAACGCATCGAGGATGAAAAATTATATATAGTAGTTCTTCAGACATACTCAATGATAAAAAGCATTAGAAAAAATTCATGTATAGTGAAAATATATTTTATATATTTTTGCTTTGAAACGATCAATACTGACAGTATGGGGTCCCTCGAAACGAAGCTTGAATGAATACTTCTTTTACACTTTTCGTTCTTCCTTCTCTCCTTTAAAAGTCATTTCGTAGAATATGAATATTTATTATTCCTCAAATATAAAATTTTTTGGTTTTTTTTGAAGTATATCATAAAGCTATTTAATACTCTATCAGCTTTGTAACAAATGATCTTCTCCACCTCTCTCCATTTATTTTTCTACATTTTTAACAGACGTTAAATTTCTAACAGACGTTAAATGAGTTATCGCTATGTCTGGACAGAACTGCAAAGTATTAAAAAGATCTTGAAACAAACTTTTTTATGAAGTAAGAACGGGAACATAAATGCACGACTCGTGCTTACAAATCAGCCAACCACTTGTGGCATGTAACTTAAAGACATAGTAAATTCAAATTTTAAATTAAATTTAAGTCTAGTAGCCAAGGGCTTTAACAGAGAATTTAAAGTTAAGTTGGCTCAAAATTTCTTACCGGCATAAAAGTTTAAATATCTGCAATTATAATGGAAACCCGAAAAATATAATATTATTTGAGCAAGCTAGTCTAGTAATATGGTGTTGAAAAGCAAAACAAGTAGTTAATTACATTACCGAAATTTTACTTTAATACTATCTCATTTTACCTCATTTACATTTTGGTAGGGAAATAGAAACGAAAGTTGATAGTATAGATCCAAAACCTAAAATAAAAGTTTAAATAAAAATAAAATATTATTAAAATAATATTTAATTTTTATTTAAACTTTATAAATTTATTAAAGTAGAAACTGTTTTAAGCACTCATAGAAATAAGACACGAGGAATGTGTCTAAAGTTCTAGAAATTTAAAT